AACAACAGGGCTATTGTATCAATCGGGTTCAATTTTCTGTCAACCCCATCATTTATAACATTCGCGCCGAAACCATTTTCCTTTTTTTTTTTTTTCCCCCCCCCCCCCCCCCCCTTTACTCGTAACCAGAATTATACTTACATCAATATATAGTTGTATGTTCATTGGTGGGATGGTAGTACTTCTATCCCCGAGCTCATGCAGGCCCTCAACCAGCTGGTACTAGATGGAAAGGTGTTGTATCTCGGAATTAGCGACACCCCTGCTTGGGTTGTGAGCAAGGCCAACGAGTACGCTCGCAACCATGGCCTACGCCAGTTCAGCGTGTACCAGGGCCGTTGGTCAGCCGCCCAACGTGACTTTGAGCGTGATATTATTCCCATGGCTAAAGCTGAAGGTATGGCTCTAGCTCCATGGGGTGCACTCGGTGGAGGCAAATTCAAGTCGGACGAGCAGCGTCAAAACAGAGCGAGTGGACGCTCCGCCGACGTCAGCGAGGACGATATCAAAATCAGCAAAGCATTGGAGACCGTTGCCTTACGCAAGAACACCATCATTACGAGTGTGGCTCAAGCGTACGTCACCCACAAAACGCCGTATGTGTTCCCTATTGTCGGCGGACGAACCAAAGAGCAGCTCAAGGCCAATATTGAGGCTCTCACCCTGAGCCTTGATGAAGACGACATCAAAGAGATTGAGAGTGCTCTTCCCTTCGACCCCGGCTTCCCTCACTCTTTCCTGTTCGGCCCCGCTATCCCCGATCACCCCGGCAAAGTATGGTTGCTGAATATGGGAGGCACCACCGATTACGTCCCCGAGCAGAAACCAATTGCACCGAGGAAGACGGGAGAATAGGGTACTCGCGGCTCTCTCGCTGAAACTTGGAGGTGGCTCACTCGAAGATATTATTGAGATAAGATCACCGAGCTCGGGACCGGGTATATTGGGGGTAGCTGGCTGCCTATGAAAATTGTCAAGGAAATTTCATGTTCATGCACCAATGTTGCTTAATTATGCCATCCTACGAATTATTTGGCGATGAATTAAGCATATTGTAATGGATATATATGTATTTTACTAAAAAGAATGTTGAGAAAAAGTGAGGGAATATCTACTCATGCACAAGAAAACTTCTACACATGGTGGCAAGATATGGGTATTATTCCAAGGAATCAAACGATCATTACCTATAAATCGAAGTTCCAAGACTTCGCCTTTGAATTGCATTGTCGTTGAAATAGAGTAGCAGTAGTGCTTATGTTTCTCGAACCAACATGCATACTGCTTCCTGTCCATGAATATCCACACTGAGGCATGGGTTACAGGTTAAGAATAGCCTACTTAGAGTTAGTTCATATGACCATCCAAATCGGAATTTTCCAATGTACTAGAAGCCATTGATTGACCTGGTATGAGATTTTAGTACAGATACCACCTCCATGGGTACCTGCTGACTCTATCAACTTCGATATCGTGGAGTATTCAAACTCCGCATACTAGGTAGGTAGGCAGATAGCGTTGCGGCTAATAACCCCCAATTGAAATTACGGCACCGCTCCCCCCTTTTCAGCACAGCACTGGTGTTGTACAAGAACCCTAACCCTAACCCTTACCCCTATTTATTGGTCTCCAACGCAGATAGAAGCAATTTCTGATTGAGAAATCGAGCCTGCTTTTAAGTGGTTAGTTCTTACCAAATGTTCTTACATTAAAGACATGAGCGACATAGGTACCTTCCCTTCCAAGTCTCGGTAAACTTTAACATCCACAAAGTGCAAACATGGAAAGTACGTGTCTTCTAAGCTTTGCGCTAAGCTTTCTCTTGTCGCAAACGGGATTGGCAAGAAATACCCGTATGTTGCCTGATACTCCGACTCTCCAAGTTCATTGGAAGTGCAAGAGAGAACTTCCCAGACATCTCTCTTCATGGGGAGCCTAGCAAATCTCGTGTCTCTAAATTTGAATCGTTACAACCATGCACAAACAACTAGAATTCTTACGGCCTGATGAACTGCCTTCCATTTCTTCGTCTACGGATCCTATAGACACCAATTGCACCCTGAGCCAACCCCCGATCAGTGCCAAGATTGATGAAAGTCTTCCAAGACGTGCTAAGTCACTTGATATCGGCAAGAAGCACGTCTCAGGGAGAGATGAAGACTCAAGTCACAACTTTGCCGCATGGAGAGGTGGATCAATTTCCTCTGTTCAAGCGAACATTAAGCGAGGAAAATGGGTCAAATCTGCCCCTGGAGATGTTCTAGGTCAACAACCACCAAGGTAAAGAGGTTTAAACCAGAACTCCATTTCTCCGTGTAATCTTATGTTTATCATGAAATGGTCTTACAGTTCAGCATTCGACCAGCGACCTAATATATCACATAGGCGGAGTAGTCTAATTGTACCACCGGGCGAAAGCAATGTCCTACTTCATAACGGAGTAGAGTTAAAGTCTCAACTTCAGGAGACCGTGGATACACAGCAAAATGAACTCTCACCCGAACGCGCCAAGAAACGAGGAACGTCTCATCTCGATGGCACTGGATCAAAGATGCGCAAGGTGGTAAATGAAACAGACAAACATCCTATCGAGAGATCTACAAGCATCAAGAGATTACTCAAAGTGACTAAAGGCTCGGATGGGCCGGCTATGCCGCAACTATCGCTTTCTGGGGGCGTAGAAAATGACGATAAGGACAACGAGGAAGAAACATATGAACGAAAAGGCGCATTCTGGCTAAAAAGGGATAGGGGACCTGATGAATTCCGGTTTCCCAAATCTCACGGTCATCCAGAGCCATTATGGCGTGCAGGTGATGGATTCTCGGTCGACGAAGCCAGGCCAGATTTCACATTCCTCATGACCGGTCAGCATAAGCAAAGAAAACCTAGACCTACTTCAAGCATAGGAGAACTCCAAATAGAACCCCGGAATGAAAATGAAGAGGACTTGCGCAGATCGGGAGTTAGTCGCCGCAAGAAACAACGTTTATCCCATTCGGAGGTGAAGTATCGCCGTGGTGCAGTGAAAGATGTATGGCCTACTATAGAAAACTTCTCAGAAGAACTAGAAGTACGAAAACGGAATCCTGATGTACCACCAAATGAGAAGATTATACCTTCGACTATACAACCACAGCCAACTCCAGTACCCCGAGCTAAGGACACTTTCGAATACAAACCACCCCCCATGACGCGAAAAAGAAGAGCTTCCGATTTCGAGAACTTCGGGAGACGCCTCGGAAACGGCGACACGATGAGCAATAAGTCTATCGCGGAGAACCAGATTGACCCAGCCCATCATGACATGCAGTCTGAGCCAGAGGGCGATGGAACTTCTAGCGATGAAGCAGTAGAGGAGGAATTTGAAGTAGAAGAAGATGAGGAAGATTATGAGAACGAACTACCAACAAGTGATTGTGGGGAAATTGACGGAAATGGTGAACATGACTTGAGCGATGAAGAAGACGCTTCCAGCTCTGCTTCAACCGAAGTATCTAGCACTGGAAGTTCAGCTATTTCTGCTTTAGATGACAAGGGTCATGAGCCACGAGAACTGGGACAATATTTTGACGATTTTTCAGCTGCTGGAGATATTTCTAGAGAATTCCTCGAGTTCAGCCAAGCTTTCTCTTGAGGGTCTGAGGAGGTCCTGGGGTGTTCTATTTACCCTTGCTGAGTTATAGGGGACATCATGTTAAAATAGGAGCAACCTAACCATCACAATCGTAGCAACTTAAACGAAGAATATTAGCTTACATAGATTTTTATAAAGAGAATAGATGTACGGAAAATACCCACTGCTTATTTATTCTATTATTTCCCCCGAGGCAACATTTTCTGAATTGAAGATAATTCTCTTTGAAGGGATCCAAATATAAATCGGACCCAGCTGAATAAAACGGCCATAATAAAACACACAGAACTCATCAGCACCGGGCGCAGGTCAATCGAAGGGCAAATTTTGTATGTAGAATTCATATTTCCCATCTCCATTTAACGCCAGCCAGCTCCGGGCCTCAGCCTGTCCTTAGATAGAGGATCTCAACAAGTGAGGGATAAACCGAATCACCAAAAATGACCGCATAACCTCGACTTTTCTTTCTTTTCGGGAAATCTATTGTCCTCCACCTACTCCTACTTCCCCTTACCCTTAGGCAAAGCCTCGTTCTCACCAAGCTCCCTGACGAAAATCTTAGTCCGTCCTTCGCCGCTGTAATCCTCCATGCCGGTCTCGAAGCCGGGACACACGGCGACGGCGAGGTACCGGCCGTCGGCGCTGAAGGCCAGCGCCGCGACGCTGTCGGCGAACTTCTGGTACACCTTCATGCGGCGCTTGGCTTCGGCGTCCCAGAGGGCTACGGTGGCGTCGCCGCCGCCCGAGGCAAAGGTGCTGCCGTGGACTGGGTGGAAGGCTAGCGCGTTCACTGGGAACACGACGTCCGCGGACGACCCGTCGGCTGCGGGTTGTGCCGTCCGGTGGCATTTGAAGGCGTATTTCCGCGCTTGCGACTCCGCGCTCGCGTCGAACCATTCTACTGCTACGCGCCCTTCGATCGACGACGTCGCGTACCCCGCGTCCGAAGGCATGGCGGCGACGGCACGCGTGAGGAATTTCAGGGAGGACTCGCGCTGTTGCCATGGTTGTGGGGCTTCGTTTGTTTGAGATGACAGTGCGGCTGAGAGCGCGGATAGGTCGTATATGTGTACGAGTCGCGAGGTCATGGCTACGATCACTTTCGATGGGGACGCGGCCATGGCGTGAGGTTTTCCGGGGAGCGGGATGGTTAGGGGTGTGAGGGAGGGGTTGGTTGGGTCGTGGACGTGGAGGGTGCTGTCCCAGGAGGCGGAGATGAGGAGGGCTGGTGGGTTAGTTACCGTGAAGGCTTGGGTTGGGATTGGGGTGTAAGACTTACAGTGTTCCCGGCTATAAACAACCCGCCTTACGGGCGCCGCGTGCTTGCTCAAGGTGCTCTGGTCGCCGGTCTCGAGGTCGATGTGTCGGACTTGCCAATCCATGCCGGCGCTGAAGGCCTCGCTGCTGTCCCTGCCGAAACATACGTCCATCACGGGCGCGCGGTGCTCGTACGTCTGGAGTAGGGAGCCATGGCTGTTCTCATCGCTGCTCTGGAGCGTGTCATATAGGTAGATATTCTTGTCCCAGGAAGCGACGAGGAGCCGCGACGGCGAATCGGGCGCGAAGGCGAGCGCCGAGATGGCGTCGTTGGGCGGTTGCGCGAGCTCGAATTGTGTTGCTGGTTTTGTGTTTGTTAGCTTCAATGTTGCTCATAAAGACCGATGACCAATGAAATTCAAGGCGGATCTTCTTTTCCTATTCATAAATGAAGATTTTATCGACATACCTGCTGGTGCCATGATGCTTTAACTAGATTTCACGATATGATGTTTGAGAGAAGCTCAGTTCAGGAATGGCTAACCGGGCTAGCTGTGTAGTCGGCGAAGTAAATATCAATTTACAGGGGTGTAGATTACCCCAGTGATAAGAGGGACTCCACTGTAATTTTCCCGAAGCTTAGAAGGTGGGATGGAGGGGCAACTGCTAATTCGATACGCCCATAGCCCATAGCTTCCCTAATAATTGACCACTTGGGCAGCTTTGTCTTCTTCCTGCTGCAACTACGTCGTCGATCTCTTCTCTATCTAACTTTTTTGTTCTTCCTATTTTGTATACAAGCAACAGGATATGCCTTTCGCACAGCTTGTCCTGGGAAGCCCAGGCTCTGGAAAGAGCACTTATTGCGATGGCAGTAAGCTGTCCTTATTATACATCATTATCCAGGTCGTTAAACTGACTATTCACAGTGCACCAGTTCATGGGCGCAATAGGACGTGAATGCTCCGTCGTCAACCTCGATCCCGCCAACGACAAGACAAACTATCCGTGCGCCCTAGATATCCGCAACTTAATCACACTAGAAGAGATAATGAGCGATGATCAACTCGGTCCTAACGGTGGTGTCCTATATGCTTTCGAAGAACTTGAGAACAACATGGAATGGCTTGAGAATGGATTGAAGGAACTAGGAGATTCATATATTCTTTTTGATTGCCCCGGTCAGGTTGAACTATATACCCACCACAACTCGCTCCGGAACATCTTCTTGAAGCTTCAAAAGATGGGCTATCGGGTATGTCCTGTCATTGACAATGTTGTCTATGTATAGAATGCCTAGGTACTAACAATGCGCAGCTTGTAGCTGTACATCTCTCTGACAGCTTCTGCCTCACGCAGCCGTCCCTCTATATCTCCAACTTACTCCTCACCCTCCGCGCTATGCTTCAGATGGACCTCCCTCATATAAATGTCCTCACCAAGATCGACAAGATCTCCTCGTACGATCCGCTACCCTTCAACCTCGATTACTATACCGATGTTCAAGACCTCTCATACCTAACGACATATCTCGAGGAAGAGTCGCCTGCCATGCGCAGTGATAAGTTTCGTCGGTTAAACGAAGCTGTCGCTAATCTGGTCGAAAACTTTTCTTTGGTTAGATTCGAAGTCCTCGCGGTTGAGAATAGAAAGAGTATGATGCATCTTTTGAGAGTGATAGACAGAGCTGGAGGATACGTGTTCGGTGGTGCGGAAGGAGCCAACGACACTGTCTGGCAGGTTGCTATGCGAAATGAGGGATCGATGATGGAAATCGAAGATGTCCAGGAGCGATGGATCGACTCTAAAGAGGTGTACGACGCGGCGGAAGAGAAAGAGTGGGAGGATCAACAAAAAAGGACCGGTGGTGACACTGGAGCCACGACGCCTGACTTGATTCCCGATGACGATGATGACGAGTTCGATGGAATGCCACCGCCGATAGGGGACAGCGGGATTAAGGTAGTACGAAAGAAACAATGAAATTGTCTCAATCATCAACTATTTCCCCCATTTCTACGTCGCTGTCATCATCCTCGACGCTTAGTAAGTCTGCCATAGCAACATCGGGTTGCGACCGTTCTGATTTTCTAAACATGTTGCTAAGAGGATCATCGGTCTTCTCTTTTTGGTCGTTCTGCGCCGTAAAAATGAGGTCCCGAGCACGACGAATAGCTTCTTCCTCGACTTTGCGCATGGTACCGCTCACATGAACAACACGGAAGACACAAGGTTTTCCATTTTTAATGGGGATGGAGTTCATAAAAGTGAGGGCAGTCCAGACCAGGCGATAAGACGATCGCGAAATGCGCAGAATAAATGTTGAAGTGGCATGAGAGAAGTATTTCACTATAAGACTCATGTAAGCCTTGCATACTTCGTAAGAGTACGTACCCACGGTGCTAACTCACCACCTAAGTTCCCACCCTCGATGGCTCCTGAGCCATAGTCTCCGAATAAATTGGTAACCTCCGCTCGTATACCCCTAAGGAGGGCTGCTGAATTGAGTTGGTCGGTCGTTGGTTGGTTGATGACCACAACATCGGGAAGATCAGGCCGACTGCCAAGTTCATTTGGGTAGAGGATCTTAACTAGGAGATAACGCTCCTTAATTCGTACCATGTTGTTTGATTTAAAGAATCATCTGGTTTTGTGTCATTCATGAATCTCCAGTTTCAATAAAACGATGTAATTAAATTTAGTGCCTTGCATTGCATGTATGAATTGGAAGGACTCATTCAACTTAAGTAAATGAAGAATTGAGATCTCATCTTCTGTTGAGCTCTGAAATTTTAGCTTTGGCTCTTGAAGCTTTATCTTATCGGCGCCCTTTTATTTAGATACCTAGGTATATACATATATCCGCAAGGGTAATATGTATAGTGTAATAAACGGGATCCGTGAATAGCATTGTACAACATTGACATTGATCGCTCTTGCTGAAAAGTTTTATTGTAATAACTCGACTCAGGACTCGATTCCGTAAAAGTAGCAGAAGCTTATTTCTTATACCAAAGAACGATTTATTTCCTTTCTATTTGCTCTTAAATATAATGCAACTGAATTCGTATTACTATCCGATAAAGGATAAGTCGTTTATATAACGGAGTGTAAATATATTCCCGCCCCGCATTTGCGCTGCACAAATGAAGTTTATCTCATACATCGCGCATCACGCCGTGCCAAAGATTCACTTACATTTAATCTGTTAGTCTGTCAAGTCTTGGGAGTTACAAAATTCAATTTGAATATATGTTCTTCCTACGTACTATAGCTGCCAAGTCTTCCCTCAGCAATCATGTCTAATGCTGCCTTAAGGGTCGCATTACTCATCGTCTCCACGACGGCAGCCAAAGACCCTTCTTCTGATGCGTCTCAAGACATTCTAAGTGAAGTACTTGAGAATGAAGGCGGTGGAAAATGGACTCTAGTTGATACAAAGATTGTCCCTGATGTAGTCACTCAAATTCAACGGCAAATTACGTTATGGACGGATATTGCCGCAGATACCATCAACCTCATCCTGACCACCGGAGGTACCGGTTTTGCGGTTACGGACAATACCCCAGAAGCCGTATCAGCTCTGCTCCATAAGACTGCACCCGGTATTGTTCACGGCATGCTAGCAGCCTCTCTAGATGTCACCCCATGTTAGTATATAACCCCCTATATTTTATAAGAACACGCTCGCTAACTCTAACTAGTTGCCATGATGTCTCGCCCAGTCGCAGGTATCCGAAATAAATCCATAATTATCACACTTCCAGGTTCACCAAAAGGGGCCCGAGAAAATTTACAAGCAGTTTTGAAAACGCTACCGCATGCATGTCTTCAAGCTGCCGGTATGGACTCGAGGACATTACATGCTGGTGGGGTTAAAAAGCTCGAAGTAGAAGCTGGTTTGAGACCGGGAGGAAGTCAGCCACATTCTCATGACCATTCCCATGACCATTCCCACGATCACCATAGTCATGGACACAGCCACGGCCACGGACATGGTCATGGTCACGGGAGTTTAGTTAGACATACGGCCCCTAGCTCAAACCCGATGTCTAATGACCCTAGCTTGGGCCCTAGCCGGAGAAACAGAGAGTCTCCATACCCTATGCTTTCGGTGGAAGATGCATTAGGCAAGATCAAGGAACAAACACCGCCAGTGGAAATTGTCACCTTGAAAGTTGATCGGTCACTTCCCGGTCACGTACTAGCCGAAGATGTCTCAGCGAGAGAAAATGTGCCTGCCTTCAGAGCAAGTATCGTCGATGGTTACGCCGTTGTTGTACCCAAGGATGGAAATATGAAGGGTGTTTTCCCTGTCGTCTCGGTATCTCATGCTTCGCCAGGCCATGCCAAACCCCTGAAAGAAGGGGAAATTGCTAGGATAACAACTGGAGCACCACTGCCTCCGGGAGCAACCTCTGTCATCATGGTTGAGGATACGATTTTAAAAACTATGACTGACGATGGTAAAGAAGAGAAAGAAATAGAGATCCTTGCCGATAACGTGCGGGAAGGAGAGAATATCCGCGAGGTTGGTAGCGATATCAAAGCAGGAACAACTATCCTTAGTAAAGGAGAGCAAATATCGGCAGTCGGTGGTGAAATAGGTCTCCTTGCCGCTGTTGGAGTTGCGGAAGTAAAGGTATACCGCAAGCCTGTTATAGGAGTACTATCCACCGGGGACGAGATTGTCCAACATGATCGGCCAGGTGATTTACAATTAGGGGAAGTACGCGATACTAACCGTATCACATTAATGTGCGCTGCGAGGGAATGTGGATATCACGTCGTCGACCTTGGCATCGCAGCAGACAAGCCTGGCACCCTGGAAGAGACGTTGAGAGATGCCTTGCGGCAAGTCGACTTCATCATTACAACTGGAGGGGTCTCCATGGGCGAGCTTGATTTGTTGAAGCCAACTATCGAGAGATCGCTAGGTGGAACTATCCATTTTGGTCGCGTTGCCATGAAGCCAGGCAAACCAACAACATTCGCCACCGTCCCTGTCAAGAACAATGCGGGCGAACGAGTCATGAAAGTCATATTCTCTCTACCCGGAAATCCCGCGTCGGCTATCGTTACGTTTCACCTTTTCGTCCTACCTTCTCTTCACCAAATATCGGGCGTCTCGCCGGTCGGCCTGACGAAAGTCCCGGTCACCTTATCCCATGACTTCGTTTTAGACAAGACGAGACCCGAGTACCATCGCGCTGTCGTTACAGTGGGCAAAGACGGGAATCTAGTTGCTGCCAGCACGGGCGGACAGCGAAGTTCGAAGGTCGGTAGCTTAAGGGGTGCTAACTCCTTACTGTGCATGCCGAGTGGCAAGGAGCCACTCAAGAAAGGGACAAAGGTCGATGCCCTTATGATGAGCGGTATTAGGATTGAGCTCTAAACAGTATGTTGTCTCTCAAATTACCTAATACTATGAGCATTTCGTAATCGGCTCGTCTTATACATCTCAACTGCAAAATACCTAAGTTACCTACCAAGTATATATGATTAGCTTTTTGATGTCTCACTGGTATAAGTAACGCTGTTACCGCTTCCATAAATAGGTTTGACCCATCTTGACTTAATACATGATTGGAGCGAATGCAGGTCCAATGTGGTTCCTCCGTGCATGTCCTCGTATTAATATCGATAGTTGCGTGGACGCTAGGTATATTAGCCGGCAAATCTGGATTCTAGATCTATAGCGATATCCTCCCTACTGGATCTACCTGCTACGTCGCATTCGAGTATTACGACAGCGTATCTGATTTCCTATGATACATGCCAAGTGATAATTCGTGTCTAAGTAACGTGTGATAATTGTCGTTCGTTATTGTCAACAGGCGTATAAATAAGCCAGTTTCTCATGATTGTCCAGATGTTTAGAACCGTTGAACATTTCTCAGAGCCAACATAACCCTTCATTTATATCAAAACTCTTCGATTTACCTATCAAGATGAGGGCATTCGCAACTTCGTTCGTCTTTCCAGCCGTCGCCCTTGCGGCGGCAATCACACAGAGGAGTGTACCCGAAGGTCCTTGGTCTGCCGGAATTTGGAGAATGCCGACGCAAGACGGAGAGCCCATGTTCACCGGAGATGGCATCAATGCCAACGGTGGAAAGTTCTTCGTCAACAGGAACGCCTCCACATACTGTCCAGATACGGTCGAAGAACTCGATTGTTCGGCTTATCCCGGGACCAGAACTGTGTTTTCGGGAGGAAACAATACCGTATTTCTAGATGTCGCAGTACCTGGCGGGCAGCAAGGTAAGCCCAGTCCGAAACCATATATCCTTATATAAGGGAGAGGCGGTTAACAGCGGGAAATATAGTATACGTTGATGTAGACGGCTCGCTGTCGTACACTGTACCACACTCGGCATACATGCCCGAGGGCTCTAATGCTACGGGTTGGAGTCGTTCAATGAGCCAGGCTTTCGGGGCTCCTATAATCTTGAGCAATAATAACAAGTTCTGGGCTATCTGCCCAGTTACCGAAGGACTGCCGAAGGAGAGGACGTATCAGGTATTCGTTGGACAGTCAAAGGAAGGTTGCTTGAATACTGAGGTCAGGACGTACACCTACACCTCATCGGGACCAAACGCTTGGGAGTACGTATAATTGATATTCAACCCGTTTCACTTGCTTTCCTAGGATATAATATAATGCAAATTGTCAAGTGCAGTTAAGCTAGGCGTATACCTACCATAAAAATGAGAGACGAACTCCATGATCATCAAGTCGGAAAAATAAAACAAAAAAGGTGGTACAAGAGGAATTTAACCTCTATACGATGGACTCGCGGGGAATCGAACCCCGGACCACTCCCAAGTCAGTAGGCGAATCCTAGAAACGAAGCTATCGTGAGGTAGATCGTCGTCATTGGATCGTTCCTGCTAAGGGAGTATTATACCACTAAACCACAAGCCCGGTTTTAACCCATCCAAGTCGCTTGGATGGAAGAACCTGTGAGAGATCGGATCCCTCTTGATGAAAAATTAGTCTCGTTGTGTCCAATTATAAAACTGAGGCTCGAAGGATAGGTGGATGACGGGTCCATACTGGCACCGCCCTAATTTAGCGAATGCATGAGAACCCACTTAAGTGCCGACCGGTTACTACTCCGGCTTCGTATTAATTATGGTAGAATATTTTTTAAAAGAAAGAAAAAAATAGAATTATTAGGTAGGTAGTTAACAGTGTCTTATATCTACCTATTGAGGGTCGAGGCAGACTTTATCGCCGATGCTTTGGATAATATAAACTCTGGACCCTGGTCGCCTGTATTAACTACAATCATCGATTCATTGTAGGGGTGTGGGTGCCTACTTTGCCCGCCACAATAATAACTGTCTTCATGTGGTGTCATGGCGGCAATGAGGCAGAGAGGCTGCGGCATCTGGTTCACTTGATGTATTGGCTAGCAAGCTCTTTATATTTTCGATACATCGCAGTTTCATGTTAACTTAAGTCGCATCCATACATGATTTGCTCAGCTTACTACCTACCTCCTGTGCTCGTGAGTTCCCCCCGGTTCCGAAGAGACAGCCTCCCCCCCAACAACTCATTCAGTAGCGTGAGGGGAGCCCTCAGGCTGTGTGAGACAACGCCTCGTAGCATATCACCATATCACCGCATTACCCTGCCCTCCACGCACGAGGTGATTGGAGGATCCTTAGTGTGCCACTATATTTCATGTACATAAGACTGTGATTCCTTATCGGGCGAATGATCTTCATTGCCGGCATTGTACAAGAGGGGATGCCGCAACATCGTGCCCTCCCTCATGGTGAGTTCGTGATGATAGGGTAGTATGAAGAAAGAGCCGCATGTGGAGTCCATCGTAGAAGTCCGTAATCATAAATAGCGTTGCAAGGCAGATTTTGGGGGCGAGGCACTGCCTGTCTGAATCTGCCATGCTCTAAAAATACAACAATTCAACCTGAAGAAAAACCACTCTGCCATAATCAATAATGCCTGTGAGAGATACAGTATTGACATATCGCCTCCGACCACAAGCCCTCAGGGATTATCTAAAGCAGGTTTTCAACCAGGAGATTCCAGTTGCTGTAAGATCTGCCTACTGTGGCCTAGGACCTAGGCTAACCGGGGACAACAGACGGCTGCTGATGGCAAATCATTTTATCATTTCAACGTGCCACGCAAACTTCGCCCGGTAAGATATCATACTAATTGGTATCCGATCGTCAACATATTCTTATCAAGTACATAGGATGAGAAGGACTATATCTATAGGCACCTCCGTTACAACGAAGATGAAGATTCCATGTGGTAATTAATACACATGAGAGAATAAACATGGCAAGGCCTTTTTAGATCAGATCTATTCATAGTGATTCATGATTGGTAGATATGACCCTTCTTGTTCAATGTAACATGGATGACATAAGGGAGGGGAAGAATCGCTTCACAATTTCATTGGTCTGATTAAGTATGGGTGATCTTACTGTACCACTTTCTTTTGGGCTGAGTCTCATCGGATGTGCTGAATGATTGTAGGAGGCCTATTACGCGAGGCAGTGTAGAGGCAAACATACTTAGCTGAACGAACTCTTCGTTCGATACAAAATGCAAAATAGTTTTTCCACATTAACTTCTACGTTGGCAATACATTTCTACTTAGTAGTTATATGACGCTCTTGACCCTTTCCCTTATTCCGACCCGAACAGTTTGATATTGTACCTAGAAGCGGAATTCACACTGTATGATCACCATGGAGACACAGAGCGCACTAGATTGTGCGGTTCGGTTCGAGAAATCTATGAGCAGGAGTTTAGAATATCCTGTGAACCTTCTCAGGACAGAAGCGTTCGGCCACACTCTTGAATCCTATTGCAGAAGACTGAACGGCACCAATATATTCGACCCTCAATACCGGTCGCTAGCTTGCGTTAATCTTTACGAAAATTTTGATTTATCAAGGAATCTCGACACGATTCAGAAACTTAGCGGTTACCTCGACGAAGAAGATGGTGCTCCACTATGGCGAATGGTGTATGAAAGTCGGGTTATCTAATAATCGTTCTCAGCTAATGCATGGATAGATTCATCCAGTCTGCATCCTCTCGGGGCGCACTGGGATGCAGTCAAGAACAACTCACATATCTACTCACTTATTATCAAGTAATGCCTTCGTTTCTAGACTTTGTTTTGAATTTTAGCATCCGAGGGGGGCCTGTGGCGCATGCTTCATTCAGACACGAAAACTATCTCGAAATGAATAGTCCAGAACTCGCTCTGCCGGAACTTAAGCGATCTGGGATTCAAATACAACATTCTTTCAACCTCTTGTCCGTAGAGCGCGCTCGTAACCCAGATGAGAAGAACCAATGGCCTCTCCGCCAAGTTGCCCTATATCATTCTTTCGACGTCACGAACGGAAGGTCTCTGTGGATCATCCTTAAGGGAAATCAATTAATGGCACGCCGTATCTTGGCCGCTACGAAAAACCATAGACACTTAAAGGCTGCAGAGATCAACAGCCCCGAAACATCATTCATCGCTGGGCTGCAGGTACAGATGATGATGATCGAATGGTGCTCCGAGAGCTGGCCTGAGTACATTGACCACCTTGAGGCAGAGGTTGCTCAAACTTCCGTCGAAGGGAAAGCCGCACCGGTCGAGAAGATGACCAGCCCCTCAGAAATCGAGCTTATGCATTCACCAAAAACTACTAATACTTGGGGAAGTCAAACAGGTAGTTCCTTGGCTAGTCCTAAACGACGAACTTTTCCTCGCTCTTCATCGGATCTACTGGCAATCATCCGAAGAATGTCTGGACTTGAGAGCGGGGTGTCAACCTTGCCAAGGGATGAACCAAACGAGAAAGATATCGAAGCAACGGCTGGACTTGTAGAGAAAGAAGAGGATGAAGGTGATAAGCTCTCTGACCTTGAGAAGGAGTTCTCCTTCGTGAAATTCCAAAGGTTAAGCCTGCTAGGCCAAGATATAGAACAAGCCCTGGTGGTCATCGAACAGAATAAAGGGGTGCTGAAAGCGATAGAAGAACATTACCATTCTGTCATCGAGTCGTACGGTTTTACAACTCACATGAAGAAAGACCTCTGCAACAGCGATATAACAACTTTCCTTACGAAGTTACGAAGTATTGAAAGGGACCTAGACATACATTACGGTCGTATACAGACGTTGTCCCGAGCACTAGAAAATGACAAGACAGTGGTATGTTAAATGCACTTACGAATTGACTAATCTGAGCTGCTAACAACATGTTGCCGCAGTTTACAACACTTCTTCAATATAAGAGCGAGAAAGTATCGGAATATTTCGCAAGCAGCGCGAAGACGTCGTCCGATCGAATGGAATCAATGACGCAAAAAATGCACAGCATTGCGATCCGTACCGAACAAGAGACAGTGTCTATGCATGTAATTACAATATTTACACTCATATTCCTTCCAGGGACGTTTATTGCTGTATGGATCAAGTTACCACGGCTTTTTCAACACCTTCTGACTTCGAAACAGACCTTATTCAGCAGCGGCGTTTTCAACTGGAACGACAATGGGAATCTTGAGTCCGACTGGGTCATCCGACGAAGTGCCTTAAAGCTATTCTTTTCCGTATCCTTACCTATGATGGTTATCATTCTATCGGCTTGGTCGATGTTGTATTTTTATATGCGACGTAAGAGGCAGGAGGAAGAGGGGAAGTGGATGTTGCCAGTAACGGAACAGCAGCCACCCACAGGAATCAGGACTAATAGCGGGATTGTCACTCGTGGAGAAGAACCTACGAATATCATGTGATTATCTCAAGTACGATTCTACTTTTCATATGAGACGTTGTCATAGAAAAGAAACAAAAAGATAGAATGAAAGAAAGGGGCATTTTAGAGTTCAGCAGGCCGGACCACAGCACGGCTTTATGTGGGGCTACACACGGGTTGCCCCGATATTTTCGGAATTGAGTGGGGCTATGTCGGTCAATTCCTACCTAGGTAGTATCAAGAAGGAATATTTATAGACTTAGCTGAACTACCTAGTAATTGATGGGTTATTTTTACATCCTCCAATTGTGATAGCTGACCACCATAATATTTGATGTGTAACAGTTTACAATGGAACAGCAGCGGTGTCGTTCACACTATGATTTGGCAAAGGTGGGAACGAGGGGCATTTAGCGTATGGATATGAAATTTACAGTTCGATAAGATTAGATAAACTCACCATGTCAGATTTGAAGTCTCAGACTTCGAAAGTCAACTTTTCATACTATTTCTCATTCTATCAACAACAAAAAAAAACACAGGAAGCTTAGGATGGTCTTATTATGCCCATACCTATGTGGATTTAAATGTCAGGCCACTTCAATTCACAAAATCATACCAGAGGGGAAATCTGATGAATTGCAACGACCCGTATTTGTCAAAATGGCCCCCAATGGACCTCCCCTGCTTCGCCGACGCGGGGTGTCCAGCCATTTTTCCACATCGGTCATACTGCAACAATTGCCACTGTTATGGTTCGCGCCCTTCCTGGCGATGTGAACTCCTAAGGCAGCCTGCCCTAGTGTGCTGCGGCTGACTGGATATTACTTGCGGGATGCATTGGGATGCTGATAAAGCTTCGGACATAAGTACCTACTTACTAGGTACTAGGTAGGCTCATAGCAAGGCTAAAAGAAGGAAGAAAAAAACTGAAATATTATCTGTATTTACCTAAAGTTCTCATCACTACATCGAGATCAATTAACCAACAATAGCACCCATCGTCTCCTGTTCCCTCAATTTATCTCCAAACACTGGTTTTTATCACTCCGCAACCTTCTATGTATATATTATCTTACATATTGAGGGATTCCTGTCTCTACACAAGAAATCTCGTCTCCTAATTGTTCAACATCCCTAATAACAACTAGATTGGCCCGTAATGGCACCGAAAAGGAATCGCCGTATGCCGACACGCCCGCCGAAAGATACCCCTAATTACGGCATCAACAACAAACCTTCCGCCGAGTTCTCTGAATTTGTAGACAAGCAATCTAAGCAGCATGTCGAAGAATTCTCGGAGAATAACAAGAGTTTTATTCCGCTTCCAATATTACGTGATTATTGGGAAAGAGCGAAAATCGCAAACATCTTGAATGCTTTCAACCCACCGCTTCCCTTTTGTATCGATACTATCCAAGACGGCTACATCCGTGTATTCTCTATACTTGTTCACTGCGGTCAAGTCTCCAACTTAGAACACTTCACCAAACACAACTTGCACGACAATATACTGCCGTTGAAGAAACGTCCAGATGACTGGAAGGGTAGTTTCTACGATACTCTATTTAGCAAGTTTTCCAGGTGCCAATGGACGTTTTGCCCCCTAATGTTTGCACCTGCGCACCTGGAGGATTGCCACCTTGACCCCAACCAAATATTACCAATCGTGAAGTTAGAAAGGATCACCAACGAACGGATTACGCAAGGAGATGCGGCGATTATTCAAAAGATGACCATTCACGATTCATGCCATTCTCTCGTAAGGGTGCGCTCTATGCTTCTCATTACCCTATAGATATATTACTGACTTGGTTCCCCTGTAATAGACACCAGAAGGCCAACCAAAACAGAGTACCTTTGTACTCAAGACGTACCATAACCACAGGTTTCAGCGGATCTACGAAAATGAAATCGACGCTTTACGGACGCTCAAAAACCAGCGTTCACCAAACGTCATTACGTATTATGGTTCCTTCCGGCAGGATGGGACTTGTAATATAATACTCGAATATGCCAATGGAGGGGATCTTGCCCAGTTTCTCAAGAAAACTCCCAGTCCGAAGGGGGACGAAGTCATCCAGTTCTGGAAAAGCATATCTCTATGTTTTGGAGGTCTGCATTACATCCACCACTTGGTCAACACTGGTGGATATCATCTCAATGGGTAAGATGCGACACAAGTTTCAAAGAAAAAAATGCGTCGCAATTGGCTAAACCTCTTTTCAGGATTCATGAAGATATCAAACCAGAGAACATATTGCTCTTTAAGGGGAATTCAGGGTCGCCCTACGACTTTGTCCCTAAAATTGCAGACTTTGGACTATTTACGCGCGTCAGGAGGTCGAAAATAAATAGCTTTGACGCAATGGGACGCGATAGAATTGGGAATCAGTTCTACAGTAAGTTTTGCCTAGATTATTGCTCTGTCATTCGTTCTAACAACGAGCAGGTTCTCCAGAGTCTAGTCATCATGCCTCATATCACGAGAACGCTCCGAATACGATCAACACTAGGGCCGACATATTCTCCTTTGGAACCGTCCTCAGTGAAGCCTCTGCTTGGGTAAAGGGAGGCTCTAGTGAAATAACCAAGTATTATGAGCAACGGAGAGCTCTCCATCGGACTAAACGAGCTTTCCGTGGGAACGATTACGAAGGCTGTTTCCATGACGGGGTGACCCGATTGCCCGTTGTCGACGAGATGCACACAACCATCCGTGATCACTGCAAATCCACCAATGACCTTATTACACCACGTGCCCTTGACATTATAGAAAAGTATATGCTGTTACCTAATGCGAACAGTCGATCCAATGCCAGGCAGCTTCAGGAGAGATTTCAGCAAATATTCGACACCCCAGACCACGAGTCACTCAACTCATTACTTAGCATTTCGGAGCTAGAATCGCCATCAATTAAAAGACAAGGTTTATCGCTAGCGGAGTTGGCAGAATATCTGTCAAAACAACAGTCTACCACAAGCCGCGATGGGAGGAATGGCCAAACTTCCACGAAGAGAGAGATCGACAACCTCTTGAAAGATCTCCAGGTCAACGTTTTTGACAGGCACCACTTGTTCTTCATTGATGATTCGACCTCAATGAAGGAACATGCAGAGTCGATTAATGAAGCCTTTTCAGCGCTCCACTATCTAGCGAGACATCTCGAAGGACACAAAGTTGAGCTTTCTGTTGCATCAGGACCTAGACACCCACGTTGCAGGCGTCGAAGCAAGAAACTACTCCAGCTAGTAGAACGTCTTAAGTATCAGCGAGATCCAGATATGATGGAGAACCGTTTTAGACGGCTCATAGATGATGTTATCATCCCACGTCTACCGAACCATATATTTGGCATCAACGTAAACATTCGCACTCGAAAGCCTACGAGCATTTACGTTTTCACCGACGGTAATTGGCGCGGGGATGACACAGCAGCGTGCGGCGTGGAGAACCACATTACGCGGCTGAGGGAAGAACTACAGAAAAGGGGGCTGGATAGGAATTACATATCCTTCCACTTCGTGCGACTCGGCGATAATGTAAATGGGAAGAGATATCTCGGCTACTTGGATCGTTTTGGTCGAGCTGACGGGCAGTATGTTACCCCCTTCTCAATTTCACACACCCCGGTTCTACTAGCTAGAAACACAAGAACAGCGACATACGAGTATGCTAACTCTCAGGCTTACGTAGGGACAACGTCGATGTTAAGACTATGTCTAGCCCCGTCAAGTCAATTATAATCGGCCCCCTTACCCAGAGCAACGACGAGGAAGACGAGGAAGATTTCGACTTCTAGAAGGCCAAGGCTTAATGAGCAACATTCTTTTATACATATTGGCGTCGAAGCTATCGTCATAGTTCTCGGCGCGCATGCTAAAACGGACGGAGGCGCTTTGATTTTCCATCGATACAAAAAAGCGCAGAATATACCCAGGTACTCACCTAACTAATAGATAGCCCGTATTTCCTTAATCTCTATTTTCATTGTCTATACCCCTTGCTAGCGTTTTGCATTAGATCGGTTCTAAGCATATGGACTTAGACTCGCTCGGTTAGCTACTAGGTAGCCTAACGCCTCCTACCTTATGTACAATAACAAGAGGGCTTTCTTTCACGTACGACCATAGGATTTAGAGAATTCGGGATCCCGTCCGCTCTCCCTTAGACAAGCTAGATACCGCTGGATTAGTAGTTGGGTCGGTGACGACCAGCGAATCCCCAGTGTTGTACGTTTTATTTTGCTTTTTATTTTTCTTCTTCTTTTTGACCCACCCCTACTTTAGTTAGTCTCACCGCTGTGTACACTATCTCTCAAGTACATATTCCTTCTCAAAATGACCACTACTTGTATAATTATTTGTTTAGAGTTATTAATCCTAAAAGCTGATGTGGGTGTTAGACGGTTTTAAGTTATACTTGTCAATAGTCTTCTCTCATCGCACTGTGGTTTCCATTTTGTCTAGCTGACTGACACAACCTTGAAGTGAAGAAGGTCCAATAGGGCGGTTGGACCTTCTAATAATACTTACCTACCTGTTTAGGCAATTACCTTTAAAATTATAGGGTTCGCATAGGATAGAATCGATCAGCTTCAACAACTAGCTGCATAAGTAGTGTTCAAACTGGAGTCGCAACTTCTAAGATATAGTAGATTCTATATTCAGAAAGCATCTGCCGACTTCTAAGCTTCATTCGACCCACACTGCCACACCAACTCTCCCACTTCATTCAGCTGATGTTGTACTCTTCAAGCCACTGTATAACTATTATGGGTGCAAGGGTCTTCTGCCGATTAAACCCCCAAGGGAATAGACAGTGATCGACGCCCCCCATCCACTCTGGCCGACGTCGCAAGCGGGCGTTTCCCCGCACAGGACCAGCTGTAAAAGCCGTCTTCAGAGCTACTCTCTTCGCGGCGTGTGGGTGGTGGGATCAGCAACCTTCTCCAACAACTTAGCTGTCCGGAGGAAGCAGGTATAAGACAATCAGACACCGTAACAAGCAGCATTACCTGCCTACGCATCGTCTTACTGGTTTAGCCGCCGTCAACAAGTCTTGTCCAAGCCCGTAGAACTATGCCTTCAGACGGCGCCCAGGATCCCATCTCACATGCCTTTCCTACCAAGCAGCTTACTATACTCGGTACGTGCTCTCTTCTCCTCATCTTCATCCTCCTACTCCTCGTCCTATCATATTCTTCTTGACGTGTGCGTTTCGATTTCAGCTGATGGACTGACTAAACCTAATACGAACAGCGATATGTCGTTTCTCGGAACCGATCGCGTTCAATTCTATCCTCGCGTACACTTACGTGATGGTCAAGGATCTGCACGGGGGCGATGACACGGACGCATCCTTCTACGCCGGTCTCCTGGTCTCGGCGTACGCCGTCGCCGAGGCCATGACCGCTATTGGCTGGGGGTCGCTTAGCGACCGATACGGGAGAAAACCCGTCGTCTTATTCGGGCTCGGGGGCGTCGCCATTTCGAGCCTCATTTTCGGTCTCGCTACCGAGTATTGGGTTGCTCTTCTTGCTAGGTTTATCGGCGGGGCTTTGAATGGCAATGTTGCTGTGGGTGATGTTTTGTCTTTTACTAATTCACAATGAATCTTGGATTGATTCTCATTCTGTTTTTATTGAATAATTGGAAGGCAATATTTTCAATTTCAGAAAGCAAAATTTGGCTTACTCGTATTATAGGTTATGCAAACGATGGTCGCCGAAATGGTCAAGATGCCGGAACATGAACCGGCTGCTTATGCTTCGCAACCTTTCGTCTGGACTCTGGGTGGGATCATCGGTTCTGCAATGGGTGGGTTTCTAGCTCAACCGGCAGTATTCTACCCATCCCTGTTTCCGGCCGATGGCCTTTTCGGAAGATATCCGTATCTCTTACCAAACCTCGTGTCCGTGGTCGTCATCATATTAGCTATTACCCAGGGTATCCTCTTCCTCGAAGAAACCAACCCTCGGATTAAGAAGGACGCTCACGAGGTCGTTTTCGAAGAAAACGACGACATAGTCGACGAGCGCACACCGCTTCACCATCCCACAAACAGAGAATCTTCAATCAGAAGCCGATCATGTGCTTCTGTTGAAAGACCATTATTCGTTGAAGAAAGCCTCCCGCTCCCCGTCGAGCAGACCTTTGACTTGAGAAGATCTTCCTTCGGCACCGTGCGTTCAATCAAGCCGCAACCTCACACAACCATAAAACCAATCGAGAACTTCAGCGGACGAACCTTCAATTTCACCATCATAATGGTAACAAGCGCCCTCGTCCTAGTCTCCTACCACCAAATGGCCTTTAGCACCCTCCTCCCCACACACCTCCTCGACAAACCCGCCGCGCCCCCCGGCTCCCTCGACCTAATCGGCGGGCTAGGCTACACCGTCCACGACGTCGGTGTCTACCTCTCCATAAACGGGATCCTAGGGCTCTTCATCCAGGGCTTCATCTTTCCCATTTTCGTCGACAAAGTCGGTGTCTGGAAGTCCTTCGTCCTGAACATTATCCTCTACCCCCTCGCCTACGTCTTCATGCCCTTCCTCTCCGCCGTCCCTGCCGCCCTCGTGTCCCCTAGCATCTACCTCTCTATGATCCTGCAGAGCTTCTTCGGTATCGTCGTCATTCCCTGCGCGCTTATCCTATTGAAAGACGCTACGCCGTCGCCGCTAGTCTTGGGCAAAGTCAATGGCCTGGCTATGTCGGCTTGCTGTTTGGCGCGCACCCTGTCGCCGCCTTTGGTCGGGATTATTTACAGCGCCGGTGGCTCGGCGGCCGCTTGGCTTAGCTGTGCCGGTGTCGCTCTTATTGGTATTGTCCAGCTTTTCTGGGTTCCTAGGAAACATGTCCGTGGCGTTGTCATGGGCGATGGGAAGACGAAATCGGATTCGCGGGGCGAGGAGGCTGGGACGTGTCCGGCTGTGACGCAGTGATTCGCCTCGGTTTTTTTTTTATTTCAGGTGGGGGCTCTGCATATACCGTGCTATGACGAATGATATCATTCCGTCCTCCGAGGTATTAGATACAAACATAGATTCAGGGGATAGTGGTAAGGATGAGGTAATGATGTAATGATCTCAAATGAATTATAAATTAGACGGCGGACCATAAAGATAAATCCGCCAACCCGCCAATTTAATTAATATATTAAAAAATATACTATATAAATATAATATACAACGAATATATATTATATTTTATAATTTAAAGATTAAAAAGCTTATAAATTATAATATATATAAGTAAATATTTATTAAATAAATATAATAAGTTTTTTTATTTTTATAAAAATATTAAAAAAATAAATATTTATTTAATAATATTATAATAATTATTAATTAAATTAAACCTTATTATATTTAAATATTTAATAAATAAATAAGTATATAATCGTTATTTATCGTAACATTAAAAGTTATAATAATAAAAGTAAATTAATTTAATTATTTTATTATATTATTTAAATTTTTAATTATATTAAAATAAACGAAAATTTTTATATTTAAACGTAAAAAAAAAATAACTTAATATATTATTAACTTAAACTTTAAATTACCATTAATTTAATAATTAATTAAATAACTTTTCGAAAATAAATAAATAAATAAAAAGTATATTAAATATAAAAATAAAAAACTTTAATAATAATTTTTTAATAATAAAAAAAATAACTTTACGATTAACGAATAAAGTATTAATTATTTAATATTTTTTCTAAAAAATAAAACTTTATTTAATAGAATTTTTTCGAACTTAATTTTAATATTCCTTTTTATTAACGTAATTTTTATTTATTTTTACTTTTATTTTTTATAATTATACCTTTATTTTTAATTTAATTTTTTAATAATTATAATTTTTTATTTTATTTCATGTTTATTTAAATAATAAATAATCGTTTATATATTTTTAATTTTTTTATTATTTATTTTACGTAAATAATAATATAATTTCGATTTATTTCGATTTAAAATATTTATATATTTTTATATATTATTAAAAACTTTTCGAACATTATTAAATGTAATTTAAATACGTTTTTAATAAAAAACATAATTTTTTTTTATTTTTATAACTTAAAATAATAATTAAAAAATTAAATCGTAATATATTTTTAACATTAATAAAAATTTATTAAATAAAATCGATATTATTATTTATAATATCGTTATTATTATTATTATTATAATATAAAAAAAACGCGTTTAAATTAAAATATATAAAATTTAAAAAATAATTATTATAATTAATTAAATTTTTTTTAAGTTTAAAATATACGAAATAATATATATAATTTTATATTAAATTAAAAAACATTATTTTTAATTAATTATATTTAATTAACTTTTAAAATTAAATTTATATAAAAAAAATTATAACTTAATATATTATTATATTTAAATAAGTTTTAATTTTTTCGTTTTATATTATTTATAATTAAAAATATTAATATTTTATAAAAAACATAATTAAATAATATAATTTATATTAAGTTTCATTAAAGTTTAATAATATTATATAATAATATATTATTAAAAAAATACTTTAAATATATTATATAAAATTATAAATAAATAAACTTATAAAAATTAATATATTTATATAATTTTAACATTTAAAATATTAATTAATATAATATTAATATTATAAAAAATTTTTAAAAATAAAATGTTTATTTATATAATATTTATTACTTTTTAAAATAATTAAAATAATATATTAAACTTATTTATTTATATAATGTTTTATTATTTATTAATAAACTTTTTATAATATTTAAATTTTAATAATTTTAATCGTTTATAAATATTATATTTAAAAATTAATAATTTTTTATCGATTTAGGAATTTAAAACATTATAATTTTTACGTAACTCGTTATTTCGATTTTTCTTTACGTTTATTAATTAAACGATTTTATTTTTTCGACGTGTTATTAAACTACCCTTTCCGTTTTTAAAATTAATAATATTAATAAAAAATTAATTAACTTTTCGTTTTTTAACATTTATTTTAAGTTTTAACGAATGGTTTTTATAAAAAAATATAAAAAAATTTCCGGTAAATACGTAATTATAATTATTATTATATTTTAAAATAATAATTATAATAATAAAGTTTATATTAATAATTAAATTTTAATTATTTAAAAAAATTTTATTTTAAATAATTAAACCTTGTTACGATTTTAATGAAATAATATTTTAAAAAAATTAAAATTAACGAGTAACTTTATTAAAAATATTCCGCATTTCGTAAAAAACGAATAACATTTTTATATTAATAATTCGTGTTATATTTATAAAAATAAATAAGTTTCCTTTATTAAACGTAACCGGCTTTTTTCGTATAAATTTTTTTAAACTTTTTTCGTTTATATTATTTATTTTTAATTTTAAAAAAAAACTAAATTATTTTTATTATAAATTAAAAATATAAAAATTTAAAAATTTATAATTTATAATAAATAATTCGTTAATAAAATTAATTCATTAATATATTATATAAATTATAAAACACCCGATTAATATAAAATTTTTTTAAAAAACGTTAATAATAAATTAATAATAAAAATAATTTAATAAAACTTATAATTTTAAAACATTTTAAAATAAAACTTTTTAAATTTTATTATTACGTTATTTTAAAAATTAATAATAATAAGTTAAGTTAATTTAAAATTTTTTTTCGTAATATTTAATTTTTTATTAACGATAAAATAAAGTTAAAATTTATATATAAATATATTAATTAACGTTATATAAATTAACTTTTTTTATCGTTTTTAAAAAATAAATTATTTAAATTTTTAACCCGTTTTATAAATGGAAATATAATAAAAGTTAAAATATAAAAAATATAAAAATTATAAAGATTTATTATAAATTATATATATAAAAATATATTAATTCGTTTTTTATATATAATTATAAAAACTTTAAAAATATTACTTTTAATATAAAGTTTTAATTTATTTTAAAGATTTTTATTTTCTTTAAATAAATTATTAATAATTATTTATTTATACCCGGTAATATTTATTAATAAAATAATAATATAATATTTTTTTATCGATTAAAACTTTTTAATAAATTTAACGTAATAATTATATTTAAAGGTTTTTTATTAATTAACTTAAAATTAATTTATAATGTTAATATTAAATTAAGTTTATAAAATTAAATATTATTTTAAAAAAGAAATTAAAATATTATTTTTCCTTAAATAATATTTATAAAAATAATCTTAATTAAATAAACTTAAATTTAATTTATATATTTTAAAGTATTTAATTATTATAAATGTTATTTTTATTTTATATTTATAAATATAATATTTATAAATGTATAAAATAATTTTTAAAATTATTTTTTTTTTTTTATCGTATATTAACCCGTTTATTATAATATTTTTAGCATATTTTTTTTTAATAACGTACCATTTATTTAATATTTACGTATAAATATTATTCATATAAGTTAAAACGTTATTACTTTATTTATTTAATTTATATTCGTTTCGTTTATTATCGGTAAAATTAATTTAAAAGTTATATATATTAAAAAGAATTAACCGGCCCGTATTTCGCCGTAAAAAATATGTTAAAATTATAATATATAATAAATTAAATAATATATAATAAATTTAATAAAAAAGAAATAAGTTACGGGGCTAATAAATTAATAAGTTTATTACGTTTTTTTTTACTTTTATATTTATTTTTAATAAAAAAATAATAAAAGTAATAATAAAAAGGGTAAGTTAAATAGTTTTATTTTAATAATTATAAGTAAAAAATATTATATAATAAATTAAGGTTATTTTTATAAACCTTTAATAATATATATTAATAATTTTTTTTATATACGTTTAAAAAACTTATAATAAATAATATTATTTTTATAATTAATTATATTATTTAAATAATATTTAAATAAATAAATAAATTACTTATAATATAAAATAAACTTATATAAACGATTAATATTATATATAAAAATACTTTATAAATATTAAAAAATAAGAAAAATTCGATTTTTATTTTAAGGTTATTAATTTAAATTTCATTATAAAGAAAATAAATTATTTTATATTACATTCGTCCCGTTTTATAACCACATTAATATTATTATATAATTATTTATCGCGCGTTATTATATAATAAATAAAATCATTTATTATTAATTTAACCATGTGGCGGTTTATATTTAATGTAAAAATATATATTTTTAATTAAATCCGGTTTAAATAAATTAATAAAAATAATTATATTATATTAATATATAAAATAAACATGAAAAATATACATAATAAAAAAAAAAATTATAATTAATTATAATATAAAAAAAAATAAGTTTAATTAAAAAATTTAGTTTTTTATAAACGATGGTTAAAATTAACCGGGGAATTTTATTAATAATTATAATTATAATTAATATATTTTTATATACTTTATAATAATTTAAAACTTAATTTAATTAAATTATAATAAAAAGAAAAAAAAAGGTGGGTAAGTTAAGGAAATTTATCGTATATATTAAAAAAGAAATTTAAAAAAAAAAAAAGGGAAATAAAAAGAAATTAAAAGAAAAAGTATAATATCGAAAATTTAAAGTTATAAAATAATAGTTTAAGGATTTTAAAAGTTTTAATTAAGTAATATTATATCCGTATTATACGGGGATTTTATATTTATAAATTAATATTAATAATTAACTTAAATAATAAAAAGAAATTAATAATTATTATTCTTTATTAAAATTAATATATTATAAATTTAAATTAATTTTTAAACTTTTAAAAATTAAATTTTTTAATTATAATTAAAAAAAAATAATTTATAAAAAAAAATCTTATATTTTTTTTAAAATAAATATAATTTTAATATTAATTTATACACTTTTTAATAATAATTTTAATAATAAAACTTTCGTAAAAATAAATTAAATATTAATTTCATTAAAACGAAAATCCGTTAATTTTTTAAAATAAAGTTATTATATATTTTTAATATTAATTATTTAAACGAAAAACAATTAAAAATTAATATATTAAAATAATTTTTAAAATATAAATTAAAAAAATAAAAAATGGCTCGTTATAAAAAACTTAATTATAACCCGAAACTCGTAAATATTATATAAAATTATTTTTATAAAAAAAATTATCGTAATAACTTAATTTTAACTTATTTATAATATTAATATAAAATAATAAT